GCAGATAAGGGTGGGGAGGGAAAAATGTCTTCGGTAGTGGGGTCAGATTGCAGATGGCGGAAGTGTCGGAGGATGATGCGTTGGATTTGGAGGTTGGTGGGGTGATACGCGAGGACGAGGGGGATTCCGTTTTGGTTGTTATTGCAGGGAGGGGGTGTGAGGGATGAGTTGCGGGAAATGCGAGAGACACGGTCGAGGGCATTTTCGACCACTGTGGAGGGGAAGTTGCGGTCCTTGAAAAGGAGGACATCTGGGATGTCAGGGAGTGGAATGCCTCAGATACGGCACAGGCGAAGGAATTGGGATTAGGGGATGGCCTTTTTGCAGGAAGGTGGGCGAGAGAAGGTGTATTCTAGGTAGTTGTGGGAGTCGGTAGGTTTTAAATGGATATCGGTTTCCAGGTGGATGCCAGAAATGGAGACAGAGAGGTCCAGGAAGGAGAGAGATGTATCAGAGATGGTCCAGGTGAACTTAAGGTTGGGGTGGAAGGTGTTAGTGAAGTGGATAAACTGTTCAAGCTCCTTGTGGGAGCACGAGGCGGCGCCGATACAGTCATCGATGTAACGGAGGAAGAGGTGGGGGATAGGGCAAGGGCCAGTGTAGCTTTGGAAGAGGGATTGTTCCACGTAACCTACAAAGAGGCAGACATAGCTTGGGCCCATGCGGGTACCCATGGCCACCCCCTTTGTCTGTAGGAAGTGGGAGGAATTGAAGAAGTTGTTAAGGCTGAGGACGAGTTCAGCTAAGCGGATGAGGGTGTCAGTGGAGGGGGACTGGTCGGGCCTGCGGGACAGGAAGAAGCGGAGGGCCTTTAGGCCATCTTCATGGGGAATCCAAGTGTACAGGGACTGGACGTCCATGGTCCTCTGAAGACATGAGGGTTTCCAAACCCAAACAGGACAGGTGTACGCCCCCCCCCAGTGAGACTCCACCATCCCCAGATCCACATCAAGCCACCACCCAGCTCCACTTTAAGATGATCGAGACCCCGCCAATCCCAACCAGTGAGGTGCACCGCCATCTCCGGGGTGGTTGCGAGTGTGCGGACGGGCGGAGGGACGTTGAGGACCGGTTTTTCCACACAAGAGTCCGCCCATCCCCGCCCCGCCGGGGCCCGGCGGTGCGGGCACGGCCGTCGGTGTCAGGACACTCTCACACTGACCTTGAGATTGGCCCTGAGGCCGTGCTGCTTGGCCAGCTGCTGCAGCTCGCTGTACCGGAGTTCGTGTAGCTCCATGGCCTGGGGTTGGGGCTAGGGCCGTGCCCAAAGGTCTCCGCACTGGCACTAATTCTCGGAGCTGAGATCTGATCTCTCTGCTCTATGGCCCGTGCTGCGGGTCTTGGATTGGGGGGGGAGGGGTCTCTCGCCATTCGCGCTCGCGACCAACCGCCAGCGCTCGGGTTTGAATCTCCGCTCCCCGCCCGCCCATTGGCTGAACGGGGGCCACACACCGACGTCGCGGTTATCCAATAGGACCAACAATGGCTGCCGCGCCCCGCCTCTCTACCCGCCCTCTCAATCAATAGCAGCGCGGGAGGACCACGTGACCCACAACCCCCTTGAGTGACAGTCACAGTGTCCAACCGAATAAACGCAAAACGCCGTTCTAAAAAAACAATAACAACAAAAAACGAGGAAGTGCCGAAGAAACTCAGCCAGTAAGTTGTGAGAGGCAGGAAAGTGCCAATGTGTCTCCTTTTCAAGCCAAACCCCTGTCGAGTTTCTGCAGCACTTTCTGTTTTCATTACTGTACCCAATCATTCCGATTCCCACAGTTTTGAAGCAGTTAGGCTGAAACCTGCAACTTTTCTCAGTTATTTTAAAAAGATAATTCGGATGTATCAGAAGTATTTTGCTTTTATAATTCCCCCAGATGCGTTTCCTCATATTGTGATTCCGATACAATTTTCACTATTTATCTATCTGCCCCAATTAACGCAACCTTTCGTTTCAGTCCTTTTGTTATATCCTTTTTCCTCAATTGAGGATTATTGGTTTTTGAGGGCCCTCTTCTACATTCATTTTCTGCCCTTCTCATCATCCTCCTTCCTCCCTAAACCTCAATGATCTTCCCCTTGTCTTCACTTGCTACTCATCAGCCTCTATTCGAGAAATGATCTTCCCCATTTCCACAGCCTTCAGCATAGCATAACCACCAAACTCTCTGCCCTCTTTCCTTCCAGCATTCCAAAGCGATTGTTCCATCCACGATACCTTGGTCCCTCAATCAGTGTCACCATCAGATACTGCAAATCTGAAATAAAAATAAAATAGTGGAAATCAGCAGGTCGAGCAGCATCAGTTCTGAGAGAAAAAAAAATGTTTCCGGTCTGTGACCCTTCATCAGAAATGGAAAGAATTAAAGACATAATAGGCTTTGACAAAGAGATAGATTGGAGAAGGACACAAGGAAGGTATATGTTAGGGTGGAAGACAGGAGAGATTGATTGATAGAAGAATAAGTCATCCAGAGCCAGAGGGAATGGTGATGGACCGCAAAAAAAATGCAGAGAGTAAGCATGCTGCTGACTGCAAGCAAAAAGAAGAGAAAAAAAATCAAAATATGCAAAGAAAAGGAAACAAAATGGGCCAAAGGTATTCCCAGGGGAAAATGGTGATCAAGACCTAGACTTTGGGCAAAAGATATTTAGGTCAATGGGCATCTATTACTTTTAAACTTGATTAGGGATGTGTCACTATATTATCAGATAGTATACTTTAGTCCTTAGGACTAAAAGAAATATTGTTTACAGCATAGAGCACTGCAGCTGTATGCTCCAGCAGTTAAGGCACTTAAACTTAATGGTATGCTGCAAGCAACTCTACACCACATAGGGCGTCAGTAGATAATGAATATATACTTCACAATCACAAATTCTCATTCATGAGTACAACAGCATGTGTAGACCCAAATCCTCTTCAAATGCAGAAGCAGTTACATCAGTTAAAGTCAAGAACAAGCAGTCATGGAACAACAGGTCAAAGATCACAGATAGCAGGAACTGCAGATGCTGGAGAATCTGAGATAACAAGGTGTAGAGCTGGATGAACACAGTAGGCCAAGCAGCATCAGAGGAGCAGGAAGGCTGACGTTTCGGGCCTAGACCCTTCTTCGAACTGATCAAAGATCATTCCATTTCTCAACAGATGGTTTAAAGGAGAACCATTAGAAGTTTTCATAGGCCTCCCAACACACCAGGAGAAACCCAAAGAGAAGACAAAATTCATCAGAATTTATTAGTAAGAAATTTGTTTCATCCTGTCATCAAGATTATACTGTGACTAAACTGGATTTTTTTCCCACTGCTTTCAAAACTTTCAAAGAAAGTTAAAATTGCAAGACCTGTGAGAAGACACAAGCCAACAAGCAGTACACCCCACTTGAGTTCATTAGTGAATGTAAAACTGAGGTATCCCAGATTTTGTGAACAAAAAGCAACGTCAGATACATGCTTGATATTATTCAGGAGACACATGTTCGATCAACATTTCATTTTTTTATCCTCCCTGAAATTATCCTCAGTACCAGCGACAAATACCATGCTAATCAATCCCCACTCAGTACAATGCAGGTGAAAGCATGTTGTTTTCATCAATACTACAGTCACTGCAGGTGAATGAAAACATCCAACATAAGCAGTAAGTTGAAGAGCATTCAAGTTTCAACATATATTTGACAACAGATAGAGATTAAAAATCTATGCACACAATTTAAGATACCATAGCAAATAACTCATCTCCTGACCGCACGCACCACCACCTCCCCTCCACCGCCCCCCACCCCCCCACCCCCACCCCCACCCCCACACTCAAACCCTGTCCATCACCTACAAGGCACAAGTCAGGAGTATGATAGAATACTCCCCACTTGCCTGGATGGGTGCAGTTCCAACAACACTCAAGCTTGACATCATCCAGGACAAAGTAGCCCACTTGATTGGCACCACATCCACAAACGTCCACTGCCTCCACCAACAGCAGCAGTGTGCACCATCTACAAGGTGCACTGCAGAAATCCACCAAAGATCTTCAGAATGCGCCTTCCAAACCCACGACCATTTCCATCTGGGTACCAGATACAGGACCTTGTACAGGATGTTTGGAGCATTATGTACAGTTCTGGTTGCCCTGCTATAAGAACAATATTACTAAATTAGAGAGGGTTCAGAAAATATTTACAAGGATGTTGCCAGAAATGGTTGCCAGAACAGTTCTGAGGAAGGGTCACCGGATCCGAAACGTTAACTCTGTTTTTTCCTTCACAGATGCTGCCAGTCCTGCTGAGCTTTTCCAGCAACTTTGTTTTTGATCCTGATTTACAGCATCTGCAGTTCTTTCGGTCTTTTCTCTCGAGTAGGGGAGTTCAAAACAAGGGGGCATATTTTTAAGGTGAGAGCAGAAAGATTTAAAAGAGACCTGAAGGGCAACGTCTTCACACAGAGGATGGTTCACATGTGGAATAAACTGCCAGAGTGAGTGGTCGATCCAGGTACAGTTACAACATTTAAAAAACATTTAAACAGGTACATGAATAGGAACGACTTAGAGGGATGTGGGCCAAATGCAGGCAGGTGACACTAGTTCAGTTTGTGAAACTTAGTTGGCATGGATGTGTTGAACCAAAGGGTCTGTTTCCATGCTGTATGACTCTATGACATAGGAAGACCAACACCTGCAAGTTTACCTCTAAGTCACTCACCATGCTGACTTGGAAATATATTGCTGTTTCTTCACGGTCACTGGGTCAAAATCCCAGAATTTCCTCCCTGAGGATATTGTGGGTCAACCGTGTGGAGTACAACGGTTCAAGCAGGCAGCTCCCCACCACCTTCTCAAGGACGTCAAGGGACGGGCAACAAATGTTGGCACAGCCAGTGACACCCACATGCCATGAATTAATTTTTTTAAAAAGTGTGGTGCCTACAACTCCACTGAAGTCAGCATGAGATGGTACACACAAGGTTCACAAATTCAGCACATGATCAAGAAGGAATTACCTGGTTAGGAGATACTATCTAAAAGAGCAAATTGCCTGGGCCAAGGATCCTGGATATTGTAAGAAAAACTGCTTGTTTCAACAGAGCAGGCATCCTCTATGAAGAAATTGAAGAGATTAAAGATCGTCCAGGGCTGCAACAAGGTAATTATCTGCAACAACAGGAAAGACATTCTCTGCACAGGAAATCCAAGTAATTAAAAGGTGCTCTAACTTCGAGGGACCTACAAATCTCATGTGGTCACTAAGAGAATCCATATCAACAGGTTTGGATCCAGAGAACTGTCAAACTTCCAAAACTGAAGGGATGCATTCTGAGAGAATAGTGAACCTCAAAACTGCCTGAATTTGAGAGGTCAAAGACTTACAGAGAGATGAAGTAGTGGCAAAAATAATTGGACAAATGTATAATTATTCATAAGGAAAAAAAGGCTGGGGTGGGGAAATGATGACAGGAAAGGATAGAAAATATAGATCCAAGAGCAAATCAGCAGAAAAGATTACAGGTTACGAAAATAATCAAAGGACAAAACTTAAGGACACTATATTTGAATGCACGCAGCATTCGAATCAAAACAGATGAACTGGTCGTACAAATCGAGATAACAAGAGGAAGCATTATGAAGCCAAGCCACTAAACATTAAATCAGCAGCAGGAAAAAAATAAACTCCACATCCTTTATGACTATTTAAACATAGAAAATATATGTAAAACAAAACCCATCTTATAGAACTCGAAGTGACGAGTGCTATGTTGAGATTCTGATGAGAAGTCTGGTAAGGTCATTCTCAACATCAAGATCATCTCGCTCCATCTTTTATGCTTCTCACAAGCGCTTTGCTGTGCCACGTCTGTTAGAATGTCAGTGAATCAACCAGAGTGAAAGGCTGACATTACTGCTGTTTTAAGGGGCTCTTTAGCGGAGATGCAAGATGGGCTGCTATTGAACTGGGTTTTGGGGAGTGAAGTAAGCATCTTGCTGAATGGCACACTAAAAGGGCAATGCAACACCCACCGCATGCAAGCTGCCTGCAAACACACTGCACATTCATTCAAACAAATGGCCACGTCAGAAACTGGCATGGGACAGTCCTGAGGTCAGTTTGGCAGGTAGGAGTCTGGCAGGGGCTCCCAGTACCAGGGACACAGTCCATGCCCAGTCCAGGAGCTTCAACATGGTCAGTCCTCTGTTTTAATTTAGATAAATGTGAGGTGCTCCATTTTGGTAGGGCAAATCAGGGCAGGACTTATATATACTTAATAGTAAGGTCCTGGGGACTGTTGCCAAACAAAGAGACCTTTGGGCACAGTTTCATAGTTCCTTGAAAGCAGAGCCACAGATAGACAGAGTGGGGAAGAAGGTGTTTAGTACACTTGC